GTAAAACAGCTCCAGCAGCGACTACTCGTACAGCCAACGCCCGCGCAAACGCTGTAGTACTCAACAAAATCGAAAACCTAATCGCGACTCTTCGGCACGGGAAGAGCAACGAAACAAGCTCACGATTTCTATCTCAGATCACTAAGGGCAACGATAAAATCTATCAAACCCCGTAGTGTTTTTCTTATTTCCGAGTTGGACAAATCTCACGGGTTAAGCAAAAGACGTTTTCCGAGAAATTTTTGGAAAAATAAAACTTGCTCTCCCAGAAACCGCGGAACAAACCGTAAGTTACTCGCGAAATAAATCCAAGGTTACTCGCGGAAAAACCCTAGGCTGTTCGCGGAAAAATCCTTAGGTAACTCGCGGAAAAACCGTGGGTATTCGCGGAAAAACCTAGGTTGTTCGCGGAAAAACCCTAAGTTACTCGCGGAGAAAGCCCTAGGTTACTCGCGGAGAAAGCCCTAGGTTACTCGCGGAGAAATCCCTAGCTTTACTCGCGGAGAAAGCCATAGGTTACTCGCGTAAAAACCCTAGGTTATTCGTGACAAAACCCTAGGTTGCTGGTAAAACAGCTCCAGCAGCGACTACTCGTACAGCCAACGCCCGCACAAACGCTGTAGTACTCAACAAAATCGAAAACCTAATCGCGACTCTTCGCCACGGGAATAGCAACGAAACAAGCTCACGATTTCTATCTCAGATCACTAAGGGCAACGATAAAATCTATCAAACCCCATAGTGGTTTTCTTATTTCCGAGTTGGAAAAATCTCACGGGTTGAGCAAAAGACGTTTTCCGAGAATTTTTCGGAAAAATAAAACTTGCTCTCCTAGAAACCGCGGAACAAACTGTAAGTTACTCGTGAAATAAACCATGGGTTGTTCGCGTAAAAACCCTAGGTTGCTCGCGGAAGAACCTTAGGCTAGTCGCAGAATCGGGAAATACTATCCAGCCGAAAAGACGGTGAGTTGGCCAAGCAACCTAGCATGTCATCTTGGCGAGCTGACCGGCTTTCCACCTCAACCTAGAGGCACTGAAATTTTCCCTAAGGGTCCGCACAATCCAACTCATAGCTACGGTGAGCCTGATTGTACTCTAAACAATAATCGCACTGCTTTTCGTTTCGTCTCAATCGGACTTTCCGTTGAGACCCTACGACAAAAACAAGTCAACTCGACGAATCGAGATTACCTGCGCCAAGCGTCTTAGCTCGACGAACGTAGAGCTAGCTAGCTTGCCATACGGCGAGCTGAACCAAGCGCCTAGCTCGCCCAAGAGATGCTGACTTCGCCCCAAGGGTTCTTGCCATCCGGATCCCCACACGGCCAGCTGAAAGGGTTCACCCGACTTGCCCTACGTCGAGCTGAACCAATCCTCGAGTTTCTCTCTCGAGTCTTGACCGCTCTGATTCTCGTTTTGTCTGAACCGGAATTTCCATCAGGATTTTAAGATAAAACCGCAAAGACTTGTTTCTTCGTATAAGTTCGAATCATTCGTCTAAAACGGCAACGGTTGACTTAACACCAAAGTTGCCTAAACTATACGAGAAATCTGAACTCTCTAGACCCAATCCTGTTTTACGAAACTCTGCCACGCTAAGTCGAAAACATCCAATCACAAACACGTGATTGAGTTTTTTCGATATACAAAGCACACCTAGTCTGTCAAATAAAACCAGCAATACGAAGAAACAAGAACATGAGCTCCGATGGTTAAGTCTTCTCCCCGCTCCGATACTCTTGCTGGTAATGCGTCGAAGACCGGTAAGTCAAAAGACGAAGAACGAAGAATAGACGATCCCAAATCATCGATAAAACTAAGGTATGTCCGATTTGAAAATTTTATTAGACTTCTACTTTCTCGTAGATAAGAAACGAAAATGTCTTGTAAACTGCCGTGAAACCTAGAGAACTTAGAATTTAGAGGATAGTCTAGCATGCTAAGTCGTAAGCAATTTTTGTCTATCTCGATTTGTTGTTTTCTAACCATTCAGGCATAACTTGCAAACTGATCCAATCTTTCGTACAACCGAGAAACGATCGCCACGCATTCAAACGTACTCATTTCCTAAAAGAAAGAGGGAGCTAGAGACGCTGACGTTGTCTTAAAACCGACTCGCTCCTAGAAGTTTTCGTAAATCAGACATACTCCAAGTCATCTCCGATCCACCATGGTCTTTAATCGACCCGGATTGTCGATCATCCCAATCCTTCAAACGANCAACCGAGAAACGATCGCCACGCATTCAAACGTACTCATTTCCTAAAAGAAAGAGGGAGCTAGAGACGCTGACGTTGTCTTAAAACCGACTCGCTCCTAGAAGTTTTCGTAAATCAGACATACTCCAAGTCATCTCCGATCCACCATGGTCTTTAATCGACCCGGATTGTCGATCATCCCAATCCTTCAAACGAAACTCTTTTTCTTCTTTCGCCGAACATTTTTCCTCGCATCAAGAAAACGCTTTCTAAAAAAAATCGGAAAAATATTTGGACGATGCAACGCCTCGTCGAAATCATCCCAAAAGCAAACGACAATCTAAAAACCGTCTAAGCGTTAAAGACTGGTCCAAAATGTCTGGGAAATAATCTTAAGGACTATACAGCATCTCTCGTCGCAACCATGCGGTTAGAAAATATCTGTGAAACTTCAGGGCGAAACTCGATAATTTGCCGAAGTCATAAAGATCTTCTCAAACTTGATAAAACAAGTGTCGTATAAGAATCGAAACATTATACGAGAAACCTTTAGGCGTCAAAATAGTGCTATCATTTTCCGTCGAATCAAGTGATTCACGGAATAATATCAAGAACATTTGTGGCAAAAGAAGAATCGAGAACACAAACAGCAATAGAGAACACGTCCTCCCTTCTCGCCGACTGATCATATTGCTGATCATGTGATTCATTCCGTCCGAGAAACCCGCTAAAACATTTTGCAACTAGATCTTGGTGAAGTAAATTTTCGTAAAACTTCGCGAGTGACTCCGAAAAAACCATCACCGAAGAATCAAAAATTAAGCGGAAAGGTTTCTCGAAAAATCTGCGGAAACATTGTTAACCCAATGCGTCATACCGATTTACTAAATTCATCTCCCATTACTTATACAAGAAATCCTTCGTATAGTCAGGATCATGTCATAACGAAGTAACTTTCGAAAATAATTGTAAGAGGTTTTGCGAAAAGTACATTACTTATAGCAAAAACCAAGCTATACGATCCGGCACTGAGCGACCAATCTAAACTTTTCCTCCTCGCGACACGATCTGAAAGATCTCACTCTTTAGCCCTTCGGTTCACGAGCATCCGCTCTCATTCCTCCCGATTACATCCGAGAATGAGACCGCCCCGCAAACGACTCCGCACGGGCTCTGCATCGAGCTTCTTAGAATCTGTCTCCCTCGAGTAAAAATAAAATAAAAAAAAAAAACTTCCATACAAAGGAAATTTTATACGAAACTTTCACCGTATAAATCAAACCTACAACCGAAAAAATGTTTTCTATAAACATGGGCATACTTGGCATATCAAGCTCGACAAAGGCTACTTGGCTATTTTCCGATCGCGCTTCACTTCAATGCTAAGTTTACAAACCGACTCGACCTTTTCGATAGCACGAAAGTGTCCGGTCTAATCCTCTACCAAATACGACCTTGGCTGTGCGGCTGAACACAACCTTCACGCCAAGTCAATACATTCAACGGATAATGCGAATTTGTCGAAAGTCGGCTAAGTTCTATATTCTCGCGATTCACTCTATTTCCGAAGCAAGTTGCCTACAAAATCCGACGTATAAGAAAACACTCGTACCAGAGCTCCTAAAGCCGTACGAATCTCGGAAGGTCAACAGTTCAAAAAGCACCGTAACGAAAAACGCTTCGTTTCGGGGAAACAACTTACGCGACCTCTCGGTCCTAATTGCTCTAGCACAAATCGTAAAACTACTTAACATCCAAACAGGAATGTAAGTTTTAATTGCGAATATCCGCAAACGAACCAAGGTGTTCCTGCAAAGCAGGGTTAAGACAAAACCCTCGCAACAACGCGCAACATCTTCGAGCCCGCAAACGTTCCGAACACGAGACGCGGCATATAAAATAAAAACCAACTTTCGGCACTGCGAGACGTCGGAAACGCCCGGAGATTAGTTTTTCGACACAAATACCTTCCTCGGTAAAGTCATTTTCTTGGAAGACCTAACAGTCCGTTCGCGACTATAAAAGACGCAAAACTTCTTAACGTACGTATCCTTCGCGAAGGCCCAAACTACGTAAACATCTATCACCTAAAAAGTTTGTTGCTGATCACAACAAACTCGCAACAGTTCTAAACAAACTTAAGTTATCTCGCAGAGATAGCTCTCGAACACCCGACACAAGGGTAATAGCTCTATAAAAGAAATCCAAAATTTTGGTCAGCACTTCCGGGCAACTTAGAAATTTTGGTCAGATCCTCACTGAGCCTATAAGATTCGTTAGATAAAGGAAACTATCAAAAGAAACTGAAACTGTGTTACCAAAAAGAGATCTGTTGATGAGAGGTTTTGGAGAGAGATAAAGAGGTTTTGATGATTTAGACATTTTAAGAAGTCTCAATGTAGTCTTGTTATACGAAGACCGTTTTCTACAGTTTTCTCTTGCCATATGGAAACTTCTTCATATATAGCTTTGTTCTGCAATACAAAGATCGTTTTGTACAATTTTATCATGTTGTACGAAGTTCGTGTCATATGGTTATACAAAATTCACATTTTATCGTCTCGTACAATTTTGTCATGTTGTAGTAATTCATAGACATTCACAACAATGCAAAGATTGTTTCATATCACTTTTTCTTGATGAATCATTGTGGTTTGTTCTTGATGGAACTTCACATAGGCAGTTCTAACAAGGGATTACTTCACTATAGTTAAGGACTTCTCGATGTATAAACGTAGTCGTAGACATTGAGAGATGAAAGTAAAAAACAGTTTTATTCCAACCAAGATCTCATATACATCTTGGTCAATCACAAACTAAAACATAAGAAACAAACATTGAAACCAAACCAACCTCTCCAAATATATAGCTCAAAGCTCATCTCTCTTGATCGTGGAAGGACGGGTCCCTTCACTTAGAAATTGTTTATAATACTTTCCGGATTCTTTCTCATGACGTGTGAGGTTATTTTTGAAATCAATGTAATAGAGTCCAAATCTGTTCTTGTAACCATCTTGCCACTCGAAGTTATCCAACAATGACCATACAAAGTATCCTGTAACATTTACTTTGTCGATGCTGCATATTTAATTGTTATTAGATTTTTCTATATAATTTCTACTCTACCATTAAAAAGGATTTAGATTACAGAATTTACCAAATAGCTTCTTGCATACTCAACAGATGCCTTTGGAGGTAGTATTTTCTATTATGATCAGCAGTACCATTTTTAACCGAATCTGTGTCACCAAGTTTTTCTCCATATCCTAAAATAAAATATTAAAATCAATCAATATATATATATGTATATATATGTATAATATTTAGGTTTAAAACCAAATCAACATAATAATTTGATAAATCTAACTAAGATCTCTAGTTACCATTTTCCATAATCATAATTTCTGGGTTTGCATATTTATCCTTGATGTATTTCAAAAGACTTCTGAAGCCTCTGGAGTAAACCTCCAATGCAGCGGTAAAGGGCTAAAAACATAAGTGGAGATGTTATGTCATAGGCAAAACATAAATATTAACCTTTTTTTTTTCTTTTTAATGCAGCATGCAGTTTGATGGTTAAATTTGAATAATGATGCAACATTGCCATTGGTTTAATTTAATGCTTACCCTGCTACCAATGCTGTAGTTTTGTGCATTCTTAGCTGAAAAAGAAAGATTTTGAATAAGTACAAAATAAGAAGAACTGTTTTCGTTGATTTGTTGATATTTATTTTCTTTGCTCGGTTTCAAGAGAAAATAGACTTACTTTCCCATGATATAAGAGAATCTTGCATCCATCTTGGTTTGGAATAATCTGGCTTCTCCATATGGTTTGAAAACACCGACGTGTAGTAGTTGAGTCCTACGAAATCAGTCGAACCTTTCAATTTTGCTTTTTGCACATCAGTAAATTTAGGCAATCTGTGTCCAACAATTTCTTTCATTTTTTGTGGATAATCTCCAAATGTAGTAGTATCTAAATGCCTACAAAAAAAAAATCAAATGCCATTAAATGACATTTTATTGGTATACAAGCACCTTTTGTTTTCAAGATATGTATTTAATATTGTAAATATTATTAACTACTTACCATCCCATCATAAAGTCAAGTGCACGGTCAATGGATGCACCATCTTGTGAATCATCAAAGTCATGTGGTTCGAACCAAGCTGGACTATGTGCGATCCCGATCTTCCCACCTTTACACTGTGGCCATATACATGACACAAATAATATTTTTTCATATCCAAAAGAAAACTAAACTAAACTAAAACAAGTTGAAAATAATCTCTATGGTTTATATTTATTTTTTTTACCTTTTGGCATTTTCTGAAAGCTTCAACGGCTTCTGCGTGAGAGTTGAGGAGGTTATGACTAACGAGATAAGCTTCATAGCCTGATCGTCCGTCTTGGCACTCAGGATTAACGTAAGTAGAGCAACGTCCTGGTGCTTTCTTGCCTACGTCATAACCGGCATGAGCGAAAACCCATGGCTCATTGAATGTGATCCAGTGTTTCACTTTTCCACCGTATTCTTGGAAAACAAAATCTGCATACTCCCGGAAATCCTTCCTGCATTGTTATAATTAGTCAATTGCAAGTTGTACGTAAACAAATGTTGGTATCATTTTACAAGAATCTTACACAATCTTTTCGCTTAAAAAACCGCCATATTCGTCTTCTAGATCTTGTGGCGTGTCCCAGTGGAAAACAGTCACGAACGGAATAATACCTATTAATAATATTAAACGAAAAAGTTCCTTTAGAGATTAAAGGGAAAACTATTACTTTTTGTTTTTGTTTTGGTAACTAATTTCTATATATATATTATATATAACCATTTCTTAGGAGCTCGTCGATGAGGTCGTGGTAGAATTGCACACCAGCTTGGCTCACTCCTTTCTCCTTTCTCCCATCTGATATCATATGTTTTCTTTCATTAGTATTTCTAACAATCCTAGACATTTAAATACAGCAAAACTCAGACTAACACTAAGATTAGTTTGTTATTAATAATAAAAAAGTATAGCGATCCGGAGCAAATAGACTCACGAGGGAATATTCTTGGCCACGCGATAGAGAGCCTGAATGCGTCTGTGTTCAAATTCTTCATCAGTTGAATATCTTCCTGCAAATATTTTTCCAGAGGAGTCAAAATGTTCAGCATGTACTTGGAGATTTACTAGATATACGTACGTGATAAATTAAAATTTCAGTGTAGATATACGTTACCTTATAACGATGGAAGAAATCAACGGCCACATCGCCATTATCGTTATTACATCTCCCTGTGAATCAAAACAAAAGATATTGTAAAGCCGATACCTTTCTTATACCAAAATTCTACATATACAGTAAACAGAGAGTAAAAGTAAACGCACTAACCTGGATATCTCTTACAGTAGATATCCCATAAGGCTGGTCCACGACAAGTCTCATTCACTGCACCTTCAACCTAATTAATGACATAACCATAAAGAGAGTTGATGGTTTTAGCAAATATTACTCCCTCCGTTTCATATTAAGTGTCGTTGTAGAGAATTTTTTACGTTACAAAATAAGTGTCGTTTTCGGTTTTCAATGCAAAATTTATTAATTTTATTATGTAATTTGTTTTTCTATTGGTTAAAATATGGTTAGGTATATGGGTAAATGTGTTTTTATATAGGAAATATGTAAAATTAATTGTTTTCTTAATCCGTGTGCACAGCTGTAGAGTGACACTTATAATAAAACAGAGGGAGTATATAATATGAAGCTCCATTCCTTAGATTTAGAAAACTGTTGTATTATATAGTGTTCGGTTCTATGTACAAATTTTGTGAAAACACAACAAGGTTTTGAAAAATGATACATGAGATCATTGGTGACCTACACTTTACGGGAAACTGTCAATAAAAATTTATATTAACATGGCATGAGAAAAAAAAAGACTTGATGGGCATAGCAAATGATAAAACATATGAACACCATTATTTAAACGTAAGATATATTGTATCGTATAATTCAAAAAGATCTATTATGATGCATCATGCATGTAGTTTTTTTTTTTGTAAAAACATGCATGGTAGTTTTTTATTCTTTAACTTTTGTGCAATGCGGTTTTGAATACGATAACATTAGTTCATAGGTGACCTACACTTACTATCTAAATAACAACATATGATACATTTCGAAAAAGGGTAAAGTTAAAAGTATTTATGTGAACGTAGACTGTACCTGATATGCCGCAGTAGCAGTGCCAAATAAAAATCCTTCAGGGAAACTTGCCCGGCTTAATTTGGACGTTGGCGGGCAGACAGGCCCATCGGCTGTTGCCGGAGAGACAACGATGGTTAGGAGAAAAAGCAGCCCCATGAGAGGAAACTTCATCAAAGTCATTTTTCCTGTTTTTTGGTCTGTGTCTTTCTTGAACAGAAGAAGTTTATGATGGTTCTTTTACATCTCAGTGGCGTTCTTTATATAGCGGTTTTGATTCACTGATTGATCTTACACTCTAACTTAATATGCCAGCGAGGCCTCGTGCTTGATCATTTTTAATATCCAAAGGCGAGTTTTCCGGTCAAATCTTTAATTACCACATGCATGGATATTGACGTTAGTATATTGTTTTCTATTTTCAGTTTTCCAAACTATTAGTATCATGCAGTGCAATTATTTGTATACTCGAAAGGATGCTTCATTTGCAAAATGTTAATCGTTATTTTACTATTTTAAAATAAAAATTGGTGCATATGTTATAATATTCCGCGTGTCCCACGAGCAATTTTAAGTTGTAAGTTTTATCAAATCCATAGTAAGTCCAAAAAACGAAGCGTCCAACTATTGTTTTCTATTTAAAAGTATTTATGTGAACGTAGACGTACGATTCTTATGATTAATTAAAAGCCCCTCCATTCAAGGTTTGGCTCACATGGAATACGGTTGCATTTCCTTCTAAGAAGGCTGATATATTAGGCTTGTGGTTGGTGCATAATTCTTAAATTTCTGCGGTAATTCAGTAACAAATATACTTAACCTTTTAATGTTATGTAATCAATTCAAACGTGTATATGCATATATGACATCAAATATGATTGAGATATGTGAATGTATGCATATATGACATCAAATATGATTGAGATGTATGTATATGTAACTAGAAGTGTCAGTGATACGTTCAAATGGACTCATCCAAATGATTTTCTTGGTTATCTCAGTATTATTGGATAAATCCGGATAAAAGTATTAGTACCCAGTACTTATATAAAAGTAGTAGTACCCAATCCGGTGAAGCAGGAAGAGGAACCAATGAATAAGTTTCAGCCTGGACAATTTTGATGCTCGTCCTCTTGTTCTTTGACTTCCCTGCCGACTCTATCGGTCTCTTGCGAGATTTCTTTGCAGAGACCGTTAGAGCATAAGCGCTGGATCCTTGACAGTCAGGGGCACTTATGTTGAACCACCCAGCGTAATGGAAGCTACACTAACCCAAGCCTCCGCGAATCTGTTGTCAACCGTTCCCTCCAACACCTCACTGAACTGAAGATGTATGGTGCAGATGAAGCTGAAGTAGTTCAAGGACGGAGCTGAAGTAGTTCATGAAGCACGACATGAACTACTGAATGAAACGCGGAGCCGAGAGCTGAGCAAGAAAAGGAAGGAGCGTTTAGTAAAGATGTAAAGATATTTATCAAGGCGTGGGCGTTAAGAAAAAGGAGTGAAGAATAAGCAACCGTTGAAGAAAAGAAGAAGGTTGTCTTATTCGCTGAAACAGAAAATGGAAAGTTTCCATTGGGTAGTTTTAGGGTTTTCTCTCTAGGTATAAAGAGAGAGTCGACGGGGTTGTCGTCGGCGAACACACTGGGTGATATTCTAGCAAGATAGATTTTTGTGAAACCGAGTAAGGTAGGCAAAACAGTCTAAGAGTTAGAAGCAATTCATCGACTAGGGTAAGTCGTGAACTGATTAGGCTAGTCAACAAGTCAAGTTGTTCTTGAGCTTTGTTGAGAATTGCTTTTCAAAAGAACTTGTATGTGATTTTAAAAGGATTTATCTAGTCGTATTTTCTTGGAAAGAATAACTCTTGAATTACTGTGTGTTCTAGTTTCTGTACTACTAATCTTGCGCTTTCAATTGATATCAGAGCGGGTACTTGTGTTTTTCTTAAACAGGTAAGGATCCTGCGGAATGGACAACTTCAAAGAGTTGGTGGCGCACTCCAAGGTGATCTTGGAAGTAGGAAACTATGGGTTCTGGAAAGCCAGAATGAAGGCGACGATCAAAGGTATTGATCCACTGGCATGGAAGGCAGTTGAGTCTGGGTGGAAGCATCCTGTTGCGAGAGGTGAAGATGGTAAAGACGTACCAAAATCCGAAGAACTGTGGACTGAAGATGAGAACAAGTTTGCCAAGTTCAATGCAAGAGCACTCACGGCCATCCACTGCAGTGTTGCGAGGAAACAGTTTGGGTTGATTCAGGGATGTGATTTAGCGAAAGAAGCATGGGATATTCTTCAGAAGCACTTTGAAGGAACTACGAAGGTGTTAAGCTCGAGAAGAGACATGCTGGATACTCGGTTTGAAGATCTGAAGATGGACGAGAATGAATCAATTGCTGACTTTAGTTCCAAGCTAAGCTCATTGTCCCAAGAAGCACTCACACTCGGGAAAAAATACAAAGAGAAGAAAATGGTGAAGAAGTTCTTGAGGTGTCTTCCTGAAAGGTTCAGAGGTCACAAATCAGCCATGGAAGTAGCTCTCAACACTGATGACATAAGCTTCGATGAGGTAGTGGGTATGATGCAAGCTCATGAGATGGAGTTAGACAGTGGAAAGAAGGTTAAGGGAATTGCACTAGCGTCTGTTGAAAAGGATGAAGCAGGTTATGATCCTTTAAGCTTACTTGTAAGGAGATTTGATAGAGCACTCAGAAAAGTGGAACAAGGACAATCCTACAAGAAGTTCGGCTCAAAATACAAATCTGCTGAAGCTGAGAAGAATGTCAAGAAGCAGATGTGAAGTGTTATGAGTGTAAGGGATATGGCCATGTGCGAACTGATTGCCCCACAGTAAAAAGAAGAGAGTTTCAATGCTTTGGATGCAAAGGGTTCGGCCATACTTAAGCTGAATGCGAGGCAGACAGCAAGAAGAAGAAAGAGAAATCGTTGATTGGGATCGACGACAGCGACTCCGACACCGATACTAAAGAAGAGCTGAATAACTTTGTGGCATTCTTGGGCATCACAGAATTGGAGTCTGACTCGGAAAGTGAGAGTGAATCAGAGAAAGAACTAACTGAGAGCTATCTAGAAATTCGCGAGACAGTATTGAGACTTGGAGCTGAGAATCGAGGACTTGAGAAAGCTAAGGAAAGTCTTGAAGCAGAATTGGAAAAGGTTCGTCTAGAACTTCAACAGGAAACTGAGCTATCCAAAGAGAGTGTGAATCTGATGAAAGAGAAGCTAGTCCTTGCCAAACAAGCAGAAGATCTCAGACAGGAAGTGATGGCTGAAAAGAAAATCACCATGGAACTACAATCGGAGTTAGATCAGCAATACAAGAAGATCAAGATGCTAACGGGGACTAAGCAGCTGGACAAGATTTTGTCTCAAGGCAAAACAGAGATTTCTCACATGGGGCTCAGATACACTTGAAGATCAAGTAATACCACAGGCATGACAAGTTTTGTGTCTGGAGGGTTTGTTCACACTAAGGAATCCGAGACAAGAAGTCCGTCAAGACAAACGGCTGGATGCCATTTTTGTGGGAAGTTGGGTCATTACAAAAGGTTCTGTCAGAGGTATCTTGAGAGGATCATACAGGTGTGGAATCAACAGAAGTTCTGGAGAGTTGGGAACACAAGTCGAGTGTTGATGATGAAGTCAGACTTGTATTCTTCGATTACTACAGGATATGGCTTACGATGTAGCATGGCTTTTGTTACAGAGGATGATGATGCAGAAGAGCCATGGTACTTTGATAGTTGTTGCTCAAGGCACATGACAGGGAATGCTGAGTACCTAGATAACTTGAAAAAGGTGAAAGGCGGAAAGGTCACATTTGGAGATGGAGGACAAGGATCTATCAGAGGGAAAGGGGCTACAACCGATATTGAACTACCTAAGCTGGTGAACGTATACTTTGTCAAGGGTCTGGAGGCAAATTTGATCAGCATAAGTCAACTGTGTGATGAAGGACTCTCAGTTCTATTCACAGCAACAGAATGCCGAGCCATCAACAAGCATGGAGTAACAGTTCTACAAGGGATAAGAGCTGGCAACAACTGCTACATGTGGGAAAAGAAGACTAAGTGTATGAATGCCTTTTCTGCTCAATCCTCACAAGATAATGTTGAACTTTGGCATCAACGTCTAGGCCACATGAATCTGCGTAACATGGCAACTCTAGTCAACAAAAATATGATTCGTGGAGTACCTCAGCTTCAGATAAAAGAGAAGATCGTGTGTGGAGCTTGTAATCAAGGGAAACAAGTAAAGGTGCAACACAAGAAGGTTCCGGATAAACAAACCTTGGCCCCCTTGGATCTAGTTCACATGGATCTAATGGGACCAATGCAAATCGACAGTATTGGAGGAAAGAAGTATGTGTTTGTACTAGTTGATGACTTCACAAGATTCACATGGGTCAGATTCATCAGAGAGAAGTCAGAAACGGTGGAAAGCTTCAAAATTTGGGCACTACAGTTGATCAATGAGAAAGGAGGAATCAAAAAGATACGCAGTGATCATGGAGGAGAGTTTCAGAATGACCTAATGACGCAATTTTGTGAGATGAAAGGAATAGCTCATCAGTTCTCAGCTCCCAGGACACCACAACAAAACGGTGTAGTAGAGCGAAAGAATAGGACATTGCAAGAGATGGGCAGGGAGATGATACATGGTAACAAGATACCTCAAAGGATTTGGGCTGAGGCACTGAGTACTGCATGTTACATCATCCATAGGGTGTATGTGAGAAAACGGACCACGAAAACTCCTTATAAAATGTGGACTGGTAAAACACCTAACCTTGGATATTTTCATGTTTTTGGGTGCAGGTGCTATATCTTGAACGACAAGGACTACCTGGAAAAGTTTGATTCATGAAGCGATGAGGGCATTTTCCTTGGTTATTCAGGAACTAGTAAAGCATACCGAGTGTTCAACAAGCGATCTGCCATGGTTATGGAGTCAGTGAATGTGGTATTTGATGACTTGTCTGTGATCAGCTGGGATGACAATGAATCTGATGAAGAGACAGAGACACCAGAGATCAGAACGAGAGAAGAAGTATCTGAGACCACTGAATCAGAAGGTGTTGCACCAACTGAAGTACCCCAGCAAGTACATCGTAATCATTCTGCTGACGATGTGATTGGAGGGTTAGAAGAGGGACGAAAG